AAAGGGCACTGAACTGCCCTGCTGAAATCAGCTGTGCATTTGATTTTGACAAATTGTCCAGTCCTTTTTTCAACCAGCTTGGGTACTTGGTGCTCAAAGTAAGGTAATTTCATTTTGCCTGTTAACTTCAGTGGCTTCTGTTGTAAGAAGCAGTGCATAAATGTTCACTAAATAGGAAAGCTGACCTTTCTGTGTGTTCCTGACATCTTCCAGTTTCTCTCATGCGTTAGGGAGGAATAATATGAAAGTCTCCTTCCCTGCACAGCCATGAGAGTGCCTACAAGTGCTGAAGACTTGAGCAAGGATGTGTGGAAACTTTGTTGCCTGTGATAGAAGGGAAGGGCTTGAATGAAGTGGGGCTTTTTGTACTGTAATTAAATAATGTATCCTAACAATTCTGGAAAGCAAATGAGTGGAAAGCTGTAGCAAGAAGACTTTCAGAGAGCAATTAAGAGTTTAATTAAAATCAGGAACATTTGGAGAGCTTGCCTGGGAGAACTTGAAAAGCAAGATGAGTGACACGCCTAATGGCAGATAACATTCAGCAGTTTTCTATAAAGCAGAAGAGAATTGAATTTGGTGGATTTGGAGCTAACAAAACTATGGGACAAATGATTCAGACACAGAATTGCAGTGGGAGGCTGCTGGGGTGGTTAGAAAGCAAAAATAGATACTCTGATCTAAAGAAAGTGTGCTTTTTTCAGGCTTCTCTGTTGCTACTTTTATATGTATTTGTAGAGTGTGTTAAACCAAAATATTTGCCTGCTCTCTTCAACCATCCTTAAAGCAGTGGGAAGTGTAGTGGCATGATAGAAGCACTTACAGACATGGAAATCCCTTCATGAAAAGAAACTGAGGTTAGGAATCCCTGCTTCTGGGGTGACTCATAGACATGTTCCACCTCTATGTTCACATTGATGATCCATGTAGAGGGTAGTCTGGGTGGTCTTACTTGGTCTCCCTAATCCTACAGGAGTGGAGCTCTTGTTGTGCACAGTGAATTATAATCCCAAGCTGCATTTTTTAGCCCCCTTTCTAAAGCCACCTGCCCATATCTCCTAGAGAGTCAAACAGAGCTGAGTATGTAGAGCTGATAACCTAGGCTGGAAGATTAAGATTTGGAGCTGGACAAACAGTGCCCTTCAGGACCACTTTTAAAATACAAACTGTAGGATGTGAGAGCCTTGCTCTTCCCTGGAACCTCATAAATGGAGATATTTCCTAGGTCTGGGATCCCATCTGATGGCCTGGAGGGGAGAACATGGTCTCCTCTGAACCAGAACCTCTTGTGCCACAGCAGTGGCAGTTTCCAGCAGATGGAATTAAAACTTGATAGATCTTGCACTCTTTGATCAAGGGCAGGAAGGTGTTGGATGTTGGAGGCTGTTACCTCACACCAACTCAGTCTCACTTTACAGTGTCACCTGGTCCAAGAAGATGAAAGAAGAAGAGCTGTTATGAACAACTGTATTTTCACCTTGCTTCTTTTCTAACCCCCAGTGACAAAAAACTTGTACATGCAATGAGTTACCAGGAAGATGTCAGCTTTCCTAGGCATCTCATTGTCCAATATTTGCTTTGCTTTCTTTGTCCTTTTGCATTCCTTGTTATTTTTCAACTAGGTGGCAGTTTAATTTGGACCATAAAGGCCGCAATAATTCAGATTTAAAATACACAGATCTGAGCCATCTTCAAAGTGTTACAGAGGCTGATAAAGGGATGTGTAACTTAATTTATTGTTTTCCATCTTCTCTGCTAATGAAATCTGGCTCTAAATTATTACATGCAAGTCTGTGTTTATCTCAGCTCAAAGTAAATTACCTGTGGAAAAAAATGCTGTATTTGTCCAGCTTCAACATTGATTTGTTCCATGACCTTGACAAGCAAAGACTCAATACATCCATTTTCCAGTCTGTAAAATAACAATGTGTCTTGTACAGCTCCAGAGCACTCACAGCTGCTTTATCACAGTGTTGCTGATAATTACTGCCATGGTATATGAAACACAAACACACTCTCTCTGTGTGTGCATGAAGTACTTGATAAGAAGAGGGACACATGGCAGGAAAGGAGCCTTAAGCAGAACTATATGTACATGAAAGCTTCATTGTTGGCTTTTAAATGTTGAAAATGGTTTGCTACTGACAGCTGAGAAGACGTTTGAGGTGGCTTGTATTTGTCTCAAGTAGTACTAACCTTGGAGGCAGAGAAGTTCATATGAAATCTTATACTACATGTGCAAAACAAGCCCAATAATGTCCTGAGTTGGAGTGCCAGTGAGAGGGAGTGTCTGTAGGGGATTGCCAGGGTCATCCCTCACCTGCTCCTGGGATGGAAAAGCTGCCCAGTTCTTGGTGGGCATTTCTGGCGAGCTTTTCCTTAGCACTGCTTCCATCCAAACACAACTTGGAAGTCTCAGCTTTGCTGTCATTGACACATTTCACTGTTTAGTTGCTGCCCTGGGCAGCTTTTTATGCTGTGGGAGAGCATGGAAAAATATTAATGACTGTTTCAACTCAGGAAGATCAAGTCCATGTACTTGTACTTGTAAGGAGGGAGCCACTGTGAAGCCTGTTTTCAGGGTCTCTTGAGCTCTTGTCATCTTCCATATGAGGACATGAGATGGAAGGAGAAAGGTTTCTTTATCTTGGGGAGAAGAACTGCAGAAAGAGAATTTAATACAGTGATTACATGAAAGGGTTAGAAAAGGTGCTGCATTTAAAATGTTTTTCAAGTAATTAACTTTTCAGTGTCAGTGGGGTGATGTACCAGCCTAGACCATCATCTTAAGCATATTTTTTTATTAAAATGATTTTAAAAATTACTGTTGTTGACAGTTCTGCCTCCTGCCCTTGCAATGAGGCTGAAATCTGACAAGTGCATGAAAAATGGGGAAGACTGTCTTCACTTCCAAAGAATATTATGAGTAGTCAAAGGGCCAAGACCTTTATGAAGGTAAGTGTCCAAAGGAGTTTGAAAGCATCTGATGAAACAGAATTTAAAGAAGAATTGAGGCTGGTGGAAGGAACATAGTAGAGGGATACAATTCTCATGGTTGAGTGCAATAGCAGTTAATAACAGAACCTGTCTGCTCAGGGCTCACTTTTAACAAGCTGTGCTTCACTTCAGAGGTGTAAGAAACCCAAGGAGAGCCTCCCTCCCACTCGTGCTGGACATGCCTAAAGAAGCCCTCTCTGAACCCTTCTCCAGTAGAAAGAAACCAATACCTTCAGACCTTGATTCACCTGCTTTAGATGTGTTCCTCAGGATGTTTGCCTTCATCCAGTAACAATAACAGCCTCAGTCTCGCTCAGGGGAGACACATCTGCAGCCGATGATGTGTTTCATTAGCAGAGTCCTTTGCTGAGTGCAGTAACAAGTCTCTGGGGAGCTGAGGACACAGGCAGCCTGGTCCCAGAGCATATCATATGAGGTGTGCTGGGGCATCTGTTGTGCCGTGTTAAGGAGCCTCACATTCCAAAGCAGACAGACTTGGTGTAGAGTCTGATGTTGCAGCTCTGAGTGCATATCCTGTGGATGTAATTAAAATGAAGTGAAATGTTGGCTGCCTGCAGGCAGGGCTGTTCTGACTGAAGCATTTAGAAATTGATCTTGTGTTCTCTGGGCTTAAATCTCTAGTATGAAAAGCAAATTTTGCTTGCCTCCTTAGGACATTGAGGTTAAACTGTAGTTATTACATGGATCTTTGTGGTGATGGCATTTTTCTTTTGATAATATCAAGGCTTCTCAGGAGATCCTCAGTTCAGGTTTCAGTGCTGTGTTTCAGGATGTGCAGTGAATAAAACCCAGGTTGCTCTTACTATTTGAGTGATTTACTTTAAATCCAAGCCAAGACACCTTCCCATTTGTCTTATGCAAGAAAACATTATTAAAACCACACTTCTGCCTATGTTAGCATTCTCTACCAGGCATTTTAGGGCCTTTGCTGCTGGGTCCTCAAGCAATGACCATGTCCTTAGTATTCCTGGAAGCTAAAATGACATTTTTCCCTTGCAAACTTGTTTTGGGTTTCTTTGCTGTTGAAAAGCTGGAAGGTGAGACATAATTCATACTTATGTTAAAGGTCCTGCATGTGGATCAGGGCAATTCAAGCACAAACACAAGCTGGATGGAGAATGGATGGTGAGCAGCCCTGGGGAGGACCTGGGGGCATTGGTTGGTGAGAAGCTCCATATGAGTTGGCATTTGTACTCTCACAGCTCAGAAAGCCAACTGTATCCCGTACTGTGCTGGGTCCAGTTCTGGGGCCCCGACACAAGAAGGACTTGGAGCTGTTGGAGTGAGTCCAGAGGAGGCCATGGAGATGTTGGGGGGCTGGAGCAGCTCTGCTCTGGAGACAGGCTGAGGGAGTTGAGGGGTTCAACCTGGAGAAGAGAAGGCTTCAGGGAGACCTTAGAGCACCTTCCAGTGTCTGAAGGGGCTCCAGGAAAGCTGGGGAGGGACTTCTGGCAAGGTCAGGGAGTGATGGGACAAGGGGGAATGGTTTTAAACTGGAAGAGGGAAGATTTAGGTTAGACATTAGGAATAAATTATTTCCTGTGAGGGTAATGAGACACTGGAACAGGTTGCCCAGGAAAGCTGTGACTGCCCCATCCCTGGCAGTGTTCAAGGGCAGGTTGGATGGAGCTCTGAGAAACCTGGTCTAGTGCGAGGTCTCCCTGCCCATGACAAGAGGCTTGGAACTGGATGATCTTTAAGGTCCCCTCCAACCCAGACCATTCTGGGCTTCTATGAATTGTATTTCCAGGACAGAGCTACCTGGGGCAGCTCAGAGCACAGGGACACAGTGTACGGGTGCTGTTGCTCCGAGGGTTACCTGTGCTTGGGAGGGCTGTGGGAAGGAGTAAGCTTGATCCCCTGGGAGGTCAAGAGGTCAAGGCAGGGTGAGAGCAGCTGGAGGTGGGATTGGAGCTCTCTAAGCTGGTAGTGTGGCTGGGAGTGACATGCTGGTCAGTAAGGCAGGTTATGTGAAGACATACCTTGCAGTGCTGGAGAGGACATGGGGCACAAGGGGATGCCCCAAGTGGTGAGGCTCAGCTGGAAAGACAAAGTTCCTCTGTCTGACTTCTCCCACAGGCCTGCACAGCATATGCAAGAGGGATCGGGTGGGTGACCCTCAGCCTGTTAGAGTTAGTGTTTGATTTTTCCAGCTGGATAACCCCTGATCTACTCATCCTCTGGCTGCGTGAACAGTAGTTGGCACTGGGGAGGGATCAGGATCATGTGGCTGGGGGTGGAGAGGGTGAAGCTGTTGCCAAAAAGGCAAGTGCTGCCCATGTTGTTGGGTTAAAGCTACTCCTGAGCATTTTGCCTAAAACTACTTCTGTCTTTGCTCTCCTGATTTGAAGGAGAGGAGTCAGTGAGCTTTTCAGAGTGCTGGGGTTTTTTTCCCAATGAAAATGTACATTTCTTTTGGTAAAATGTCAGGCTGTCAAGCTGAACCACTTTTTTTACTTATTCACATGAAGATTCTGTCACTGCAGGGAGAAGTGCTACATATTTGGCAGGAGCAGTTTTCAGAGAGCCTCTGTGGTCATTTTTAGGGCAAGACTTGAAGGCCTGCTGACTTCTGTGTGATTAGGACTTGCACAGAGCCTGGATGTGGTCATTTGAGTAGAAGACCTGAAGAGGTGCCTCTTTCTTGGTTCTTCCTGCTATCTTCTGTAGCATCATCATGAAGCAGTGAAGTTCAGTCAACAGTAGTCTTCAGTGCAAAAGACTGAGGAGGTTTGGTCTGTCTGCACATACTGATGTGAGAGTCTGACTTCTCCCATCCCAAAGGAGATATCTGTGCTGCAGGTACTTTAAAGACTATATGGTGAGGTGGTTGCACAGGCATAACTAACAGGTACCTCAGTGTGATTGAAGCACTGAGCTTACATGCTGTTGACTAGCTTGTACCTAGTTTGTTTTTGGCTTTTGATTGCCATGTGGGTGAGCTCAGGGTCTGAGAAGCTGCTCCTGACTGCTGTGGGTTGATGCTGATGGGTTGTTTGCTACAGCCTGCAAGGAGCTGCTGCCACAGTATCATCAAGGTAGCCTTTTGGTTAGTGTTCTTGAAGGCACTTCTCTGGGAGAGCTGGCGGCCACTGGTAAGTAGCACATCTGGGTATCCCTTGTATAGAACTTGAATACTTGATGTAGTAACATGTTCCTGCAAAGAAAGCAAAACCTGTAGATTATTGTGAACTTTATTTATTTTATTTTATTTTATTTTAATTTTTGCCAGACCTTAGTAATTTGGCTGGCAAGCTGGAAACTTGTATAGTGACCAGAGAGTTTTCAGCTTCTCCAAAGAGCTGTCCTTGGAAGCACAGAGAGTTACCAGCTCAGGCCACCTGCTTGCCAGCAGGGACATGGGCTTGCAGTGGTCTGTCCTGCCTGCCATTTAATTGAACACCTCTTAGGATGGAGGTGCCTGCTTTGGGCACAATGCTGCAATGGTGCATGGAAGGCTCAGATGCTGCTTCTTGGAAACCTACTTTTAGAGATGTCCTTACACTTATTCTCTGCTGTTAATGACCATTTAATTTTTACAGCCTTTGATTTCAATTGACAATGTGGCTTGCTCATCTTGGCACTCAGCCTGAGTAAGGCAGCTGTACCTTCTTTTAATAGGAACTCTGACCTGTGCAAAATGACTCATCATTAATATGTCTCTGTAACGGTCTGTTTATTTCAGCTCCTTTCCATGCTTTTTTGTCTAATGGTTTTTATGCTGTTTTTTGCTTAGCTTATCAAGCAGCAGATTCTCTCCCTCCAGTTTAGGAAGGTAAAACTACATTGCATTAAACTGCTCTGACCAACCACTTTACTGAATCTGACTGCACATGATTAATCTGTAATGCTTTGGTACTAATTAGAGAGCCCTGAAGTGATCTAACAGCCTTATTCTGCATGACTGGGTCCCTAATACTTGCTTGAACTGCAGACAGCAAAGTGAATGTTCATTGTAATTTCTGTGTTAAGGTGCAAGAAATATTCACCTTTCTTAGCCAGACAATGGGTGTTCAGCTACTTCTTGATATTAAAGTGAGACTTCCATACAGAGACATTAAAAATTAGACATGCCTGAGCTGAGACTTTTAAAGAAGAAATTTTCTTCTTCCCCCCTTGTCATCCTGTGCTTTATTGTGAAGATCATTCAATTGGACTCTGCCCTGAGGTGCACTTGTACAGCTGTACTTTGCCTCTGGCAAAATAACACATTTGCAATTCCGTGGCATTACTTATTCGCTGCAAAGCAGGCAGAATGTCCATGGAGGGAAAGGCCTCTCCAGAACATCCCTGTAACTGTGGGGTTGCTAACCAAAAGGTCAAGAAAAGAAAATAATGATCAAGAGGAATACACTTCTCAAATCTCCTTTTTCTGCAGACTGCATTTGTATGGAAATCCCTCTTTAATGTAAAAAGGCTACTGAATTGCCAGTGTTCTCTTCCTAGGCTCCAGGGCTTTTTCTGCAGCAAAGATGCAGCTTCAGGAAGGCCTGGAGGAAGAGCCGCTGCTGCTTTGTATCAGATTTCTGGAATGCTCTGAATTACTAGTTTAGAAAGCAATTTGAATTGGACAAGTCTTCTTGCAGCTGGAGTGAGTCAGCTGAGAGCCCCACACCGCTGCAGCCTCTAAAGCCCCTCCCTCCTCCGCCCATCTCCCTCCCCCGCGCCTCTCCCTCCCCCTCCCACCTAATAAAATGGTTTATTTGAAAGATTAAATGGACTTTCCAAGTCTTCCTGCCAAGTGTACATTGGGCAAGTCTCCTCTGATTCATCTGCTGTGCCTGTGGAGCCCCCAGCTTCTCGTGATGCTGCCTTCCTGAACCATTCAGTAGCCTTTGCTGTATTTCACCTGACTGTGGGATTTGCACCGTGTGGACCAGGCTTATTCCTGGTGCTGCCTGCTGATACCTGCTGGTACAGTGGCATGGTACTGGGATTAAACTTGGTTCCGAGTGTCACTTTGTGTGTGCACATCACTTCTTTTAAAGATGCTGATCCAGTTGCTGTCCTGCTGGGGTATGAAATGTTCATTGGTGCTTGAGAAGTTCCTTATGTGGATCTAAAAGGCATTTACTGGTCTAGAGCTGGGGATCTGTTTTGAAGGGGCCATCAAAACTTCACCAGTAACTGCCTTGGTACTGGATTTCCTCTTTGGAATTGAGAGTTTTCTTCTGGGGTTGGAGTATGGAATGGTTTCTGTGGTTTCAAACAGCTGTTGGCTCCCACAGCCCTTTCCTAGCCCTGTACCTGTGTGAAGAGTGGATTGGCAGGACCAGTCTCCTGGGATCCACCGATTTCCACAGAAAAGAGTCTGAGCTGTGACATCTGTTTTTTACCCCATCCCATATAGATGGGTGTTTGGATATAGACAGTGTTTGGATATAGACAGTGTTTACAACCCTCATTCGGTAGATGAGACAAGTGTGCAGCAGTCCGAGCTGTCACTGTCCCTGCACAGTGCCTGGGAGCTGTTTGAGGCTCCCACTGCATCCCAGTTGGGTTTTTGCTGAGGGATTCATCTCCCTGCATCTTTTACAAACCCATTCTAGCAGGAAGCCAGAGTGAAAAACATAGCACTGCAGCCTCCAGGTGAGTTTTCAGGGTAAATGAAACCTTCAGCCATGTGGACACTTCAGTCCGTGCTGCAAAGCCTGTCAGTGCACTTGACCTAGCTGAGTTCATGCTAAATGTGGGGGTTTTTTTGTTTTTCCTGAGAAAGTCTGCTTCCCCAGCAGGTAGAGCATGAGTAGCAGCAGCACCAGCATCCTGCCTGCAAGCCAGGGGCTGCTTGTGAGGCTGAGGTCCTCCTTGAGGAGCCCCCTCTATGTGCTGTAAGACCTTCTGCTCGTGGTGGAGCTGTGTCAGGAATGGTGTGAGGGTTTGTTCCACCTCTTGCATGTCTCTAGAAGCTGATCACTTGTTTGAGAAATGTCTTTCACTGCTGAAAAATTATCTAAGTAGAGCTGCCAGCTACCAATTCTTTTGTAGTATTTGTTATGTCTCCTTGCACTTGAGACCTTGGGGTCCTCTCTCCTGGGAGAGGAGAGGGAAAAATTGCAGAGGGAAAAATGAAGGCTCCTCCAGGAGCCCCAGAGCACTATCCAAATGAAGACCCAACTTGGAATGAATCCTTTTCTTTGATTTAAGAAAGCCTAGATCTTCTGGGCCTCCACTTGGTGATGTTTCAACAGGATTGGCAGTGCTGTATGAATACACTCATGTCCTGGAGTAGTGCTTACATGACTGGCGAATCTAAAGTCCCTTTTTATGAGCTCCATAGATTGCAATGGCTACTTGGGTAGTTCTGTCTGTTTGGGTGTCCCAGCCTGAACTTTGGGGTTGGTGCCTGAACTCACAGTATGTAGGGTAGATGCCCATCTGCAGCAGTGGGAGGTGAAACAGAGCATGGGGGGCAGCTTCACATAGGATTCCTAAGCTCAGAAAGCTGCAAGCTATGCTCAAGGTCTCATTCAGTGAGCTGCAGCAGACAGCTTTCTTGATTCAAAGCTTTCAAAGGGAGTTTGTGATTAGGATACATGTTCAGTTCACGCTTGGCCTGAAATTACAATGCGAATTCTTCACAGATGGACTAAAATCCTGGTGAACAGAAAAACTCTTGAAACACTGATGGTGCAGTACCAGGAATGTGAAGCTGCCTTTGTTAGGGCCTTGCTTTGAGTCTGTTGACTGATCAAAGACATGTTCTGTTGTAATCAAGATCTAAAATGTTTCTTGACGTTTGTTGGCCCAATAGCGATCAGGGTTAAGACAAAGGGAACATCTCCCAAATGACACTTTCAATTTAGAAAGTGTCATCTTGGGAGTGAAAAAAACAGTCAAATACCCTGGCTCTGAGCTGGATTAGACTAGTAGTAGTGGAAGATGGGAGGGAATGAGGGCATTTACAGGAGGAACACAGGCTTCTGAGTAGGAAGGGGACCTTTTTTTTTCCCCAGTATTTTGATCTCTAAGAAATGCTTCTTGAATCTTCCAGGAGCACCTTCTGCGCAATCATTTCTCAGCTGACGGAGGAAACCCAGCCACTGTTTGAAACCACTATCAAATCCCATTCTGTGTCCGAGGACTCTGATGCTAAATTCACCTGCATAGTGACAGGTAACAGTGTCTTCAGTGATTAACCTAGTCCTGCCTCACTTGCTGGATTTGTACTAAACTCTAGAGCAAGTGATAACAAGGCAACATGTTAACAAGTCCACTGTTATCAGACTGCAAAGATGCAGCAATTGCATGTGATTTCAGCTTTC